ACCCCCATCAGCATCTTCTCTCTCTGGGCATCTCCTGTGGTGGGCCTGTGCATCGTAGTACAGAAAGCTGTGAGTGCAGATCCATAAGTAGCCTTTGGCTGAGCCTCTCACCTTGAGTTTGTGGGTTTTGATGGGATTGCAGGAGGCCCCCTATTCTAGAGCCCACCTCCACACCCGGATAGGTTACAAGTAAGGCAGTGTGGGAATGCCTCATTGGGAGCTGGTCTTGTTCATCCGAGCTGGTTCTTAGGTGATTAATTTGCTCAGCAGTTACTGATGTGTTGGCACCTGGCAAGGCTCTGGAGACAGTCTGGGCCAGAAGCAGATGTAGGTCCTTCCCCTGGAGCACCCAGCCTGTGAGAGGACTTCCTGAAGGAAGGAGCTTAAGAATGAATGATGGGAGATGGAGGCACAGAGTGGAAGGAGTGTCCCAGGCATGCGAATCACATACACAGTGGCTCAAGTGATAGTCATAGTAACAAGGTCTTGGTAGAGAAGCTGCCTGTCAGAGGCTGGCCTACCGGGGGCCGATCAGTGACTATGAGGATGAAGAGGACCAGGCCTCCAGGGAGACAGGAGCTCTGATATGAGTGTCCAAGGTGTGGCCTGACAAGGAGCTACACAGACAAGTAGGTCAGGAAGCCTGGTGACTGGTCTCAGACTAGGGGGAATGAAACCCCAGACTAGACCACACCAAGGGCAGCCTGTTCTGCTTGGGCAGGAGGATTTGATAATGCCTGGAGCCTCCCTGGCAAATGGATCACTGACTCTTGCCTCACATGATTTCTGGTGCTAGATCCACAAAGCCTTCCTCTTCTCCTTCCCTTCCTGTGGGGAGTCACCCTTTCCCTCCCCTCTGTCTTCCTCATGCCACATGGTGTCTGTTGATAGTGAACTGGGCCTGAGAATTCGTTGGCTCCCCATCCCCTTTCTTTGTGATTATTCTTGGCTCCAGGAAGGCAAACTGCTTCTGAACTCTGCTCTGCTGGCTGTTCTGAAAGTGTGAACCTCAGTGGGAGGCAAGGGCCTCCCTGGTTTCTGGTCCTAATGCCACCAAGGAAGCAACATGTGCATTGACTATCAGACAGGTGACAGCCAAGTTTAGAGCTGTTCTTAAGGTCTATGGGCTGCTCTGCAAAGGGCTGGCTTCTTGATTCACTGTTTTGGATGAAACTTTGGGGTACAGCAGGGACAGACTCAGTGTCACTGGACACTGAGACTCTCCCCTGAGCACTGATGTTCTGGGGCTCCCCTTGCAGCAACCTGAGAATAGCTGGCCTGGCAAGCAGATGCTGGTGGAGTGGGAGGAAGGTCTCAGTGGACTTGCTGACCCATGACAGTCACTTTGCAAACCCCAGAGCCCCAGTGTCAGGTTATTCAGGAATGAGCTCCATATTGAAAGTGAGGGAAAGGCTCAAAGGGCTTAATATTTAGCTTGGATTTATCCCTCAACAGCAATGTTGGCCAGGTTTTGTATTTTCATAGGGCTCCCTCCCAGTCTGGTGGTCTTAGAGCCTCCATGACTGGATGTCATGGTTAACTTTCAGTGCCTTGGAGGACCGCCAGAATCTTTATGACCTGTACTGGGAAAGTGAGGTCACCAGGATTGGGGACAGTGATGAGCAGTGAACCCAGGAAAGTCCTGGGCTTGGGCATGATATGGGTACAGTGTATGATGTCATGTGGGTTTCTTAGATCAGTATGTCAGTATCCTCAGTGCTAAAAGGGAATAGTTGTAATGGCCTCTCCTGTGATGAGTCTTTCAGGTTAGATGGGCTCTGCATGGTGAGAAAAATAGGTATCCATCACCCTTGAGATAAGCATGAAAAGGGGACCAATTCCTAAGACCCAGAAGATCAGAAAAATGAGACGAGATGCAGGGTGACAATAAAAGTGACTAGTGACTATTGCCCCATCCAGGAGCTGCTCTTATTTCCTGCTTGGTGGTTCCTGCCATCTGGGTAGGGCTCCTGTGGGCCAGGGGTGTGGACAGACCCTGTCAATAGAGCTTCAACATTCCTGCTTCCTTTCTGTGCAGATCAAAGTGCCCACAGCTATGGGGACTCCACCCATGCCGTAGCCTGCTTCTGGGAGGTTTCAGTTGTAGCCAGGACCCCTGAAGGGTGTGTCATAATTCCGAGGTCCTTGAAACCACATCTGATAGAAGCTACTGAAACTGCTTCTGGCCCGACATTGAGGAGCCCATGCTTGCTTGAGAAGACTCAGTTTGGCCCACAGCATGTGTGGTTTGGCAAGACATTTGGAGTCTGTGTTTTGGTTTCTCCGTTTGAAGGATGGGGATACAAATTAGACCACCTTAGGGGCTCTGTATGTGAAAGGTTGAGTAAGCCCTGCAACATGGTTACACCCTTGTCAGGGAATAGTCATGCCTGTAGCTATGGCTATGGGTCCTCTCCATTGCTTTGTCACCATAGATTGGGAGACTGGGGACATGGGGTAGGGTGGGTCTTCCTTTATGTCTGGCTTTCCCAGTCCCAGCTCATCTAAGTAGCCTCCTTGTTTCTGTCCCTAGCAAGATGATTGCAGGCCTCAAACTTGGAAGCTCAAACTTCCACTGTGAATTAAGGGGATGGTGGCACAGCGACTCAGTCCTTCAAAACAAGGACTGAATGGCATGTCATCTTCATGGAAGTGGGGGTGACTTGTGAGAATGCAGTCAGAGTTAAGAAGACCCCTTCTGTTCATCCTTGTATTGATTTTTTTCTACTCAGGACCTAGCAGCATGTTGTTTACATGGTGTGCCCCATGCCCAGTACTGTCCAGTGCTCATACTTATACACAGGACAGAACTATGAGCTTTGTATGGGATACTTGAGGAGCTGAACCTAGTGTAAGGTCTGGAAACCTTAGAGGTGGTATGTTGTAGACAGAGGCCTAGAGGCTAATGGAGTAGTATCTTATTTATTGTTTTATTGCTGGGAAGAGACACCATGATCAAGGCAACTTATAAAAGGAAACATTTAATTGGAGGCTTGCTTGAAGTTTCAGAGGGTCAGTCTATAACCATCATGGCAAGGAATCTAACAGCAGGCAGACAGACATGATTCTAGAGTAATAGCTAAGAGCTTACATCCTTATCTTCAGGCTGGGTGCAGAGACAGAGAGTGTGCAATCATATGTCTGGCCTGGCATGGACTTTTGAAACCTCAAAGCCTATCCCCAGTGACACACCTCCTCCAATTGTGCCACAACTAATCCTTCCTAAATAGTCTACCAACTGGGGACCAAACAGCCAATAAATATGAGCCTATGGAGACCATGCTCATTCAAATCACCACAGGTAATGTAAGGGCAGAGGGTGCCAGGCAAGGCACGCACACATAGGACAGAGCTGTATACAAAGGCCGGGTTGCCCTGGGTATGGCATGAGGTGTAGACTTGAGTGGAGACTGTCCCCATGAGGGATGAGTGGAACCATCCACAGCAATAAAATCTGAGCATAAAGGTGGGAGTCCTGGGGACTGCCCACCTCTCAGCTTCTGAGTCTCCAAGGACCTGGTCCCAGAATGGAGGGTGAGCCCCACCTGGTGGCCTGAGCCATGGACCAGGTCAGGGTGATGATTTTATCCTGAGCAAGTGGGTAAAACTGACTTTGAAGTCCCTTCCAGCTGTCACACTCCAGTTCCTCGGAAGCCCCCTGGGATAGCAGACTATATGAAATATAAATCAATAGGGTAAGACCACACTTGTCTCCTGCCCAGCGAGGCCCTGTCACTCTGCCTACCTCTTCTGTATTTGGAGGATCATCTCTGGCTGGGCAGGACATGTGCTGATGGGAGGAAATCACTTTGTTCAGAGGTAGAGCCAATCTTGCCTTCTTGACAAGGCTCTGCTTTTCTCTTTAATCATCGCTGCCTCTTGGCTGTATGCCGCCCCAGCTCGCTGACACCCTCTCCTTCTGTCTCCCCACTCTAATCATCAGGGAAAAACAGATACCTGATCAGTCAGCCTCTCGGGACCCATGCCTGGAAAGTTCTGCTCCTGATGAGGAAGGAGCAAAGGGGTGGACATGGCCAGTGTGGTAACTCTAAATTAAGCAGTCAAAGGACTTCTACCAGAACCAAGAGTGCCCAGGTTCACCTCCCAGGGTTCCCATGACAACAGGACTGTTAGGTGTTGCTAATATGGACTGGCAGTGAATGAAATGGAGTTTGATGTACGTGAGAATCCAGCTACTAGCAGAGTAATTGCCAATCAATCTCTCTCTCCCCCTGAATTTCCTTCCTTCCTTCCTTCCTTCCCTCCTTCCTTCCTTCCTTCCTTCCTTCCTTCCTTCCTTCCT